TAAAGATTCTATCGCAGGTATTGGTAACGTTTACGATATGAACAGGTTGTCCACATTTGAAAAAATGATCTTTGAAATTCAGAAGATCGTGAGGTTTAATCTTGAAAGCAAAGTAAGGAGAAACGAGTCAAAATATTCAAGCTTCGTACGTTCGTTCGGTGGTTGGTTGGTTGGTTTCTACGTGAGATCGAAAGGTGACATATTTGTTGAGCCATGAATTTCTACGATCTTTACCGGTTTCAGGTCGTTACTTAAATTCTACGTCAGCGGCATTTCCTGTTAGATTTTTCCACATACAAATGGAAAGATAAAAGAAGAAAGAAAGAAAGAAAGAAAGAGAGGAACGCATACAAACAAGCAAACACACAGACAGACAGACACGAGGATACAAAGTGTGTAGGTAAAGTAACAAAAGCTTTGTGTTAGAAAATGGTGAGAATCTCGAGGCTTGAAGGAATTTTAAGTTTAACCTCTCATGGTCGTTGACCGAGCATAAGAGGATCGGGATTGTAGAGTTTGTTGGATATGGGAAAGGAGAAAGGAGAGATTGGTGGTGGATTGGGGATTGGGTGGTTGTGGGTTAGGGGTTGCAAGCTTGAGAAAGGGTGACACACACGTTCGTGGCAGAAGGTTATAGGATCAGGTGTGACGAAGCAAGGTAAACACCAAGTCGACACCTTATGACGGCCTTTGACACGCTTTTACCTTTAGAGAAAGAGAGTGAGAGAATGTGTATGAGTGATAGAGAGAGAGAGAGAGAAAGAGAAATCCTTCCTGTTCTGTCACAGCCAAATGTGAACGAGCCGTCGTTGTCATCCTATCGAATGATTTCGATCCGAGCTTAAACGTGTCGAATACTGTGTTAGTTTGGAAAAGGGCCACGTTCCGTTGTTGCCAAGTACCGTCACTAACATAAGCTACTTTAGATGTTAGTGGGTGTATATATATATATATATATGTATATGTTAAAGGTGTAGATATAGGGGTTTGTGTATTTCACGTATGTGCGTGGAAATCTTTTGAGAACAAATATTCATTTTATTTTATTTTTTCTTTTTTATTTTTTGATCAAGTATTCATTTTATAATTCGAATTTTATTTTCACGTATGGCGATGATTAAAATTTCCTTTTTTTTTCTTTTTTTTTTTCTTTTTTTTTCTTGTGCGATGGGGTTTGATCGTTCGTACGAAAAATTGTAGAACAATGAGAGGAGATCAAGTATAATGATAAAATATTAATATATAATAGTGTATATAAATTGTTAAACAAATTTTTAACGACTTTAGTAAAAATGATTATTAAACGAAATGGAGAGATTCTTATGAAAATATTATCTGGCAAAGTTAATATGTTTGAATATGCACTCCATTTGCTGCGAACGTCAAACTAATATTAAATTCCTACTTCACGTGGCTTAGTAATTTCACAATTAAGAGTTTCTCGTAACATTATAAAATTATTGGTTATATACGATTTAGCCAAGTATTCAATATTAAAATTCTTTCATAATACTTCATACACTTTTGTATATAATCCTATTAAAAAAAAAAAAAAAAAGAAAAAAAAAATACTCCACCGGTGATAAATCAAATCTTTCGTTTAATAACGAGATTAATGATACACGCGTTAATTGATAATAAAATCAAAACTTTTGATCAAATTTTACTTCGATTATGTAATATTACATTTTCGAGCTTTTAAACGAATCAAATAGAAGCTATCCGTTGAAATTGTTTAGACAAATAAAAAGAAAAGAAAAGAAAACGGTAAAGAAGAAAAGAAAATCTTTGGGAAAGTCGTAAAAAATGTTTGCGTTTCACGAAATGAAGTAAATTACAAAACAAATGTATTTCACATACGTGAAGCATGGCAACGAATGAGGAAGTTGAAAAGAAAACAAAAAAAAAAAATTAAGTAGAGAAGAGAAGATAAAGTAAAAAATGAAAGAAAGAAAGAAAGAAAGTAGGAAAGAAAAAGTAGACGGAGAAGAAGAAGAAGAAGAAGGGGTAGTAAGTAAGTAGAAGAAAAAGGAAGATCTAAAATAAATCGGCCCAGGTCGATGGGAATCTAAATGCAAATATCTACGCGAGAATAAATTCCTATAAACGGGGGATTGGGGTGGGGGTGGGATGCCAGTGGTGCACCTTTAAAAGAAGTAGAAGTAGAAGCGAAAGAAAAAAAGAAAAGAAAAAAGAAAAAAGAAGAAGAAGATTTGCGTGTTGTAATATTAGGCTGTAAAAGTATAGTGGTACGAAAAATTTTCTATATAATATGTATATGTACATATATTTTTATAACGTTCATCTAACGAAAGTATCATAATTTTGTTTTCTCGTTGAAAAATTTTGACGAAAAAATTGTTGGCAATTATTTTAAAAAGAAAAATAAATAAATAAATAATACATAGGGGTTGTGTATTTATCATAAAGTGTATTACCATTAGACGATAATTGTAGTTTCATACTTTTCACTGGTAAACTATATTTTTCAAAACCATTCTTCGTGTATTATTAATTTAAAGGGACCAAACGAAGGTTCGGCATAAATAATAAAATAAAAAACCGAATAAATTTGTTGGATAATGAGGTAGGAAATTTTAAGGATGGAAAAAAACACAACGAAATATTAAAACAAAATCATATTAGTGTAAAAATGTACACACACATTAACCATAAGGTGTATATTATATTTTTTTAACATTTTTTTTTAAAACAAAAATAAAAAGCCTCCTACTTTGTGTTTTATTTGAATAAAATTCTTTCGTATTGAAACGTTGATATTTTTAATAAAATGAATATAAACAGACAAATAAATAATAATAATAATAATAAATGGCTTATATACGAATTATATAAATCGAAATAAACGCGATTTAATTTCTTTTTTTTTTTTTTTTAAACGATTCAGGGCGCAGAGGTGGGTATTCCTTTAAAAATTAAAACGAAGCATTAAAAATATGAAAGGAATGCATGAACGGGTAGGGGGGACAAGGGTGCATGGGTGGGTTGTTACCGTGGTTGAAGTAGGTTGAAAAAAGGAAATGCAAACATAAATTGGGATGATCGCGCATGCCTTTCCATAAAGTGGACGAAAAAAATCTTCAAAAGGCAGGGTGAAGTACGGACAAAGTTCTTAAAGCCGTTTTGCCCGAAGGCTACAGATACTACTACTTGTTGTTCTCAAAAGAAAGAAAAAAAAAAATAAGAGAAGAGAAGAGAAGAAAAGAGAACGAGAACGAGAACGAGCAAGTGAATGAATGAGTAAGTGAACGTTTATATGTATGTGGGTGTGTGTATGAACGCGAACATAAACGAGAGAAAAAGACGGAAAACTTGTTCTCCTTCTTAGTTAGATGGAAAATTGGACTGAGAAAAATAAAAAAGAAAAAATGCATTTCACGAAAATAAAGCATGATCTTTATACTCTTAATCTCTTTTAATAATTATTTTCTTTCATTTTTTTCTTCTAATATAAAAAAATAGTTCGTATTTCAACGTGTGCACGATAAAGAATTAAATCTCGAATTTGATAAAATAAAATTTATTTTTATTACAAATATGTTTCACGGTGATATATATATATAATCTTCTAATAAATCTTCGAATTTAATTTATATTCCGTTAGAAATAATTGTTAAAATAATAATTAATAATAATAGTAAACCAATGTAGGAAGAGAAATAATATAATTTTAGAAATTTAATACAATTGTCGCGCGTTCGTTTGATGAAAATTAATTTATTTTTTATTCGTTTGTGATTTAGAAAAAGTAAAGACGATTAAAATTGTAATTTTGTTGTTTAATAATCTTTGACATAGAAAAAGGAAAAAAAAAGAAAAAGAAAAGACAGAGAGAAAAGGATTAGTCTTTTAACGAAATTGCTTCTCCAGCATGATCTCTCAAAGATTAATCCTTTCCTTCTTGAGACAGACTCAATTAAAATGATTTTCTTCCTTTTTTTTTTTTATTTCTTTTAACGGCCACAATCCATCCTTTCTCTCTCTTTCTCTCACTCTCTCTCTTTTAAAAAGTAGAATATTACGATTTAATTGTTAGAGAATGTTTAACAGGAAGGATTGGGAAAGATTCGTTCGACGATTGAAATTCAACGTAATCGACTTGATAATTACTATGAGTAGAAACTCGGAAAGTTAATTGTACCAAAACAGGAGATTAAAACACTTGACGAACTATTAGAGGTACATACGTAGTTATCTACCATTTCCTGGTTGTTACCGTCTCATTTAAAAATATATGAAGAATGCGAACAATTTTTTTCCTTTCTTTTACCTTTTTCTTCTTTTTTTTTTTCTTTTTTTTTTTCGTACTAATTAATTTCCTCGAATATTTACGCATAAAAAATCGAAAAAGTTCTGATTTAAATTATAACATTTTTATTTAAGTATTTTTGATTGTCAATTATTTTTCTTGATTTTCGTATCCTAATTAATAAAACGAATTATGTGTAAAAGGAAAGATTGGTTCAATTAATATTGCCATGAACTTGCGAGAAATAAAAATATAAAGAGTAAAGGAGGAGAGAAGAGAACGACGATGAAAAATAAAAGAAAAAAAGAAAATTTAATTTTTAATCCCTCTTTGAAACTCGATTCTTTTTTTTTTTTCTTTTTCGGTGGTGGTTTATAAAAAGAGAAAAACAAAACACAAACAAATTACGTAACGTGAATATTGTAACGATAAAAATCAAGAAAGTAAATTATTCATTAAAAATACGTGTGTGTGTGTGTGTGTGTGGACGGAGTAAAAATTAATTAAAATGAAAAAAATAATTACGGACAAAGTAACGAAACTTTTTTGTTTTATTTTAATGTAATAAAAATAAAAATAAAAAAAAAAGTTCGATTTAAATATTCGTAATTATTGTTAAATAAAATATCTATCACATAAAGTCCCCTCTGAAAATGATTCGAATCACAAATGAATCTATCAATAATAATTTATTAATAATTAATAATGTGATTAACGATATCATGCTTACCGACAACCTCGAGAAATAAAAATATACTCGTAGGTGGATGAGTTGAGACCTGACATTGGTAAAGTCCTGCATCCCTGCCCTGTACGTATTTTATTTGTAGGGTCCAATCTTCGCTGTGATGAAAATGTATTACTTGAAATCGTTCATCGTTGGCGTAAGTTATCATGCCAACCGTCAATAATTCCTGAACGGTCTTACGTTTGATCCATGATACCTGGAACAAGAAAAAATAAAAATAGAAAAAGCCTCGTTAGTATGGTAAACCACAAATCCGATCAACTATCAGAAATCGATTCTTTCTAACAACATTATATCTTTGCGTATGTATACGTGTGTACACTCACTTTGCGTGAATGCGTGTTAGACTGCAATGTTTCTCAAAATAACGTGTGTATATGTATATGTATATATAAAAAAAAGTACGATTCTGATGACACAGGTCAAATTTAGGGATTCCTTTCGAATTCAACAATATTCCCAAACAATTGTCTCTCTTTCCAATTTTTTTTCTTCTTCTTCCTCCTCTACCACCAAATAAACTCTTTCATTATTTCCTTTACGTAAAATACCTAACGTAATATCATAATATCAGTTCTCTAATCCCGTTTGTTTCTCATTTAACAATATCCCAACGTAGGGGAATATCTAATATACGAATGTTTTAGATGCCAGTCGAGATCGCATATTATACTTTAACTGCAAAAACCTATTTTGGCATGATCCTTCCTATTTTATCTCCCTCTCTCTCCCTCCCTCTCTCTCTCTCTCTCTCTCTCTCTCTCACACTCATCCGTTTTTCTCTCCCACTACAGTATACTGCGAGCAGACATCGATTACGTAGGACAGTATGTACGTGCGCTTGCGTAAGTACATTGCACGTTGGCCAGTATTCACTGACACGTTCTTGATATACTGGAATTTAATAAAGACAAAGTAGATTACCGAGAGAGAGAAAGAAAGAAAAAGAAAGAGAGAGAGAGAGAGAGAGAGAGAGAGGGAGACAAAAAACACCGAGTACATTTTCATTTAACGTTTGAACCCAAAACTAAAATTGATCAGAGATTCTCTTTGATTTGTTATGTTCTACCCTAACGTAAACACATTAATGGTATGTTAAATGATCACTCGAGTAAAGATCCTCCCCCCCCCTCTCTCCCCTCCCCACCTTACCATTCCATTCTCAATGATGTGTATCATAGGTTAGTATAATACCGAAAGTTTATTAGTCATCTTTCCAAAATGTACATACTGACATTGATTTACTTCCTATTATGTATTCTAAGCAGCTTTGATATTACAAACAGTTAGGTTACGCACACATGTGCTCTTGATCGTTACTGAAGTGAATTGATTATGGTTACAGGCAAGGATACTTGCTTTCTGGATGTTAACTAGAGTAAACAACTAACTAAACACCTGTCGATAATATATAATTATCATAGAAATTGAACGTTTAACAAGTATGCTCTAAATCGACATTCAAAGGGAAACAAACCTTTTAATACTCGCATTAATCAACTTTTTAAACTTACAGATTACTAATTATATTCGTTTAATTGACTCTCTCTCTGTCTTTGTCTATCTCTATCTTTCTCATGGATTTTGGTTTAATTTTTGATAGAAATGTTGAATAATTTTAGAATTTTAGAATCGTTCAACTTTTACATTTCTATCCACGTGAAATTCAATTTTTATTTATTCGTTAGATTTTATTGCGTTTGGTTTGTTTGTTTCTTTTTTTTTTAGTTTTCATTCACTCGTCGAGGGATTTGTAATAAAGCTTTGCATGTTGATATGATCATTCATTCATTCATTCCCATTTTAATGGTAGTTGAAAAAAGTTATTACCCTCGAAACAAAAGTTTTATTTCGTTTAAAATAAAAATTAATTAGAACGAAAAAGAAAAGAATCGTTTCAATTCGATTGAATTTGCAACACGTAGAAATCTCTTTTTTTTTTTTTTGGTAACAAAGTATTAATGATAATAATAATAATAAAAGATTTGTTTGCTTCGATGATTAAAAATTTTTTCAAATCCACCCCCGTTTATACGAATAAGTATCAAGGTCAAACCGATTGGTGTATCAATATTCTCACCTCCTATTATTTACGAGTTAAAAACCGACTGTGTTGCAAAATTATTTGACATTTTTATTTGTTTGTGTGTTAAACAACGTTTTACATTAAAATGTAATATTATATCCAAGAACAGGTTTAACTTTGAAGTCATCAAAAATGTAGGCCCGGTTAGCGCGTAATTACTTTGGTATTTAAAAATAGCCTGAATTTTACGTCGGACTTTAATCTCGTAACCTTTTTTTTTTTTTTCTCCCTTTTCTCTTTCAATTTCTTCTTCTTTTTTTTTTTTTTCTTGTCTCGTTTCACCGTCCTCGTTCTCTTTTTCCATCCCTTTTCTCTTTTATTCCTTTCCTTCTCCTTTCTTTTGTTTCACACCCCCTGTGCCCCTTTTTTTTTTTTTTGTTTCAACGCGTATTTCTACAAGAAGAATACGTTTTTATCGTTTCCTTTTACTTCTCTCTTTTCTTTTTTTTTTTTTTTTGTTAATTTAAAATAAAATCCTTTAAAAGATTTTCCTTTCTATTATCTGCTAGGATTAAACCAAGGGGGTTGGGGTGGAATGTAGAAAGAGGTGGAGGTGAAAGAGAAGCTGCTTGTGGTTAATTTATATTCGTATATTTAATGTTACGCGTTTAAAGTAAATTATAAAAATAAATGATGATCTATATTGTAATAATTTAATGTAGAGGATAGTAAGCGAATTATAATTTTAAGATAATCAAATAAGAATCAATATATATATATATATATATGTTTGAGAAGGTAGACCCTTTTGGAAAGCCCTTAGTTGGTCGTCTGGTCGAAGTTTGATAACGGTAAATGACTATTATTCCTCGATAATGGTAACATTGTCGCGAATATTGCTATAACCGGAATCGTAGCAATGCTTTATGATACCATTGATACTATTATCTTTGACTTTACGATAAGGATTATTTATTAGTTGTTTGATCTGGCACAGATTTTCACGGATAAATATTTATATTACGTTATATACGTGTCGTCGTTGTAAGTTTTTATTGTTAAATCTAATTTATCTTATTATCTTTTTCTTTCTTTATTGGGGTTAATTGTTCGTGTTACTTTCAATGTTTTACATATCAATAAATTAATATTATTTTTTCATCTAATTTTCTTCTTCTTCATCATCGATATGCAATACATTATTATTATTCTTTTGTAAGAAATATAAGAAATTTATTATTTTTAATTGTTCATTCGCGTGTTTTTATTTTTATTGAAAAATTAATACTTCTTTTTTCTACTTTCGATTTCAATTTCAATAAGATTTACGATTGACATTAACATTTCACATTCGACTATTAGAAAAAAAAAAAAAAAAAAAAAAAAAGAACCAGAAGCCAAAGTCTCGTAATAAATAAATAAATTCAAAAAATTCAATTTCCATTCAAAAACTTATCGAATTAATTCTAGATATTACGAATTTGAAATAAATTTCAAGAAAAGAAAACAAAGAAAAGAAAAGAAAGAAAAAAAGAAAAAGCGGACCGAATTTTACATTCGATTTGAGTAAAACCAAGTCGCACATAAATAACACGAAAATTCAATTTGACGAAACTTGTCGAATTAATTCTATTACGAAATTCCAATAAAATTTAATGTAAAAAAAAAAAAAAAAAAAAAAAAAAAAAAAAGGAAAGAAGCGTAATTTTACATTCGATTTAATTATAAAACCAACCTCAAGTCTCATAAATAACATGGGTAACAAATTTTAATTAGAAGGAAAGTCTTGTTGGTAATATTTCACGCGTAAGAGATTTAGAATGATTTTCTTTTATTTTATATTCTTATGGTTGATATCGTGAACACGTCAGGAACGAATGAACAAATGAATGAATGAATAAATGAACACTAACGAACGAATAGATTTCTTCTAGATTTACTATATCATAAATGAAAAAAGGTAAACGACAGGTTTATCCCACGATCATGGAAGGTTTGTGATAGGTATACAAGAACGAGGAAGGGTGGGAGGGTGGGAGGGAGAGATTTCGTTATCAGTTTGTAATACTCTGTCCTTTTCCAAAGCATCACGCTCAATTTCGAGAGGACGAAATTCTGTTGCAATCAAACCGTGTGCCAGGATCAATCGATAGCTGCCTCAGCTGATGGTGTTTCTTGTCAGTTTTCCCATTCGTGAAGGGATCAAACCAGCGAATCTTCGATAGTGTTACGAAAGCGTTATTGACGTTTACCGATTACGAACATTTTACCGAAGTACTATGTTAGTCATCGATCGTTTTCGACAGTTTCATAGATATTTATCATTGTTAACTGTTCAAATTGAAACTAGATTTATATATATATATAAATATATATAGAATTCTAACACCAATCGATTAAATATAAAAAATATCTTTCTTTCTTACTAAATGTTATATATTAAATAATTCTTCTCTTTTTTTTTATTATTATATTATATTGTTTCAATAAAAGTTTATATTGTGTTCAATTATACTATTATATTAATTTAATTTTCATAATCGCGAGATAAAAGATCGTTGTGTGATTGGTAAACGTATAGTTTCTTAACAAACGATTTTCTAACAAAACAATCCTATCGATTAAAAAAAAAAAACAAAAGTGAGAAATTTGATTTTCAATCAGTTCGAATAAATCAAACTTAAAGTATACACATGTGTACACATACATATATATATATATATATATATATATATATATATACTCGTACTTTAACGAAATACTACACACATTTTTACGTACCCACATTTTGCACATGTCTATCAAATAGTAGGGGAGTGTATTCGATGCTCGTCGATCATTGTTAACGTTCAATGATATTCGAGTATTGTCGATGTGAAGTGATTATTAACGCCTACGTTCTCTACAATCAAAATGATCGATATCTGTTCACTCATGTACACAAACACACACATACACATACAAATATATATATATTATATATTGGAATATCTATATATATGTATATTTTGAGTATATGTATACTAAGTGACATGCAAGTGTACTCGACAGAATCAGAGTTGCCTGTTAACGATAATCCATGTAAAGCAATTATTTCTACAGTCAAGGATGTACGATTGACTTCAACGAGCACACTAAATCATTAACAATGATCTAACGAGTCACCGTGA